GTGTTGCCATTGACACCTGCTCCTGATGAGTCAGAAAAGAACGGCATCGAAAGGATGCAGGGAGCCTCATCTTGCTTTCCCTCTGTCTTCCCCACCTGCCACAGAGGCCGGCCCGGAGAGGCTCGCTGTCGGCATCGGGAACACCAGGGTTGTTGCTCTTTTCCAGGTGAATGCCTCCTAGCAGCCCCAGCCAGCCGCTGGCATCGCTCCCATGCACTCAGAACCACTTCTCCGAACAGCATCCATGCCAGACTCCCCCGGGGGAAAGGTCCGGATCTGCTTGCCAAGTCCTCTGGGTGAAACCTAACCGGGCTTTCCGGCAGGCTAGGGAAGCGCTGCCCACAGCAGGCCAGCAAGGGCGTCCTTCCGCGGGGTGCCCTTGCAGCTCCTGGGAAGATGAACTTTCTCCCAGTGGGCAGGTGCATGCGGTGGGCTTTCTGTGAGACAGACGAGCCAGGGATCTTTTATAGAGTGCCAAACGTGCATGATCTGGGACAGGGCGATCCTTCCCTGCCTCGTACCACGTAGCTGTGGGTGTCAGCACACGCAAAAATACCAACTTCACCACCTACCAAGAAAAGCGTTCTTACCAGAGGCATGCAGAATGGCCGGGAGGAGGGCGAGGCTGGGTTGGCCACTGCAGCTGTGGGCCAGAGGCTCGGCTCTTCACCCCTGGCAGAGCTCACCTCCCTGGCCCTCGTGGGCAGTTGCCCCCAGGAACAGGATGTCAAAAGCGTCATCGCCTTATAAGAAATTTGCTCTTGCAAGTCCTTTCTAGGGTGGGCCCTGGGCACAGGGCTTAGGATGTTACCTGGGCCACTCGCATCACTTATCCGATCCTCATTGAAGTGCTGGCTTCCAGTTCAGCTTCTGGCTCGCGGACATCTGGGAGGCCTGGCTTGGTTTCCGAGCTCCTGGCCTGGTCCTGGCCTGGCCCTGCTTGCAGGCATTTGGGGAGTGAGTCAGCCGATGGGTGACCTCTGTCTCTCTACCCTTCAAAGATAAATAAACATGTTTTAACAAGCCCTTCCCACTCATGGCTTCCTTTCTAAGGAATAGCAAAGCATTGTCTTGACACCTGGCTTATCCCCGGTGGGACCCTACCCAGGCCTGCTCTGTGGAAATTGGCCACTTTGTCCACCTGCTGCGGCCTGACCTGTCCATCGTACAGTGTGAAGCTGGGGGTGTGGATGTCAGCCACCTCTGCCTTCTGACCCTGAGGGGACAGCGGGGTAACCGTGGGGGAGACGAAGCGTGTTCTGAACCTGTTTGTGTCAGTCGTGGGGTAGCCCTCCTGCCTGTTCATGCTCGGGGAGACACAGGCTCCCCTGGGGGAGATCATCAACCAAGTTCTCCAGGCACTTCAGCAGAGGGAGTGGGCTGCTGGGGCTGCTGTGTGCTTGTTCCGTGACATGAGCACAGCTGAGATTCATGACACAAAGTACGGGGGGGAGGGGGGTAAGAGAGAAACCCCCCCACCAACACCACATGCGCTCATGGCTGGCTGCAGCTCTCTGCTCGCCACCAACCCCCGGCCGGCTTTTCCCTCTCCTCTCTCTTCCTCCCGCTCTGTCTCTCCTTCCCAAATAAGGATCCCATGGGGGCTTTTCTCTTGCAGCATCAGGGTGCAGGTCACCCAGCAGATGCAGGCCAGCCAGCAGGTGCCCATCCAGTTCTAGGGACGCCCCTGACATAACTAGGGGTAGACCAGATGCCAGCAGTCATAGGAGGAAAGGCTTCAAAACTCCTATTGTCTTGCATTTGCCCAATTGCCGCCTATGGTGCACATGGCAGAACCCACCCGGGCTTGACTGCCTCACACCTGAGCCTGTCAGAGATGTGGACTCATCTCCAGCCAGTCTCAGCTCTTTCTCCTTCAGGTCCATGGCCAGGGGCTCCTTGAAGCCCAAGCTACAGCTCTGGGGTTCCACGAAGGCTCCCCAGGTTCTGCTGGTGACCTGCAGTCAGTGTGGGTCTAACCCCTCCTCCTGCAAGCACATTTGTTCTGCAGGTCAAATGTCCTCTCATTAAGGATGACCACAGGCAAGGTGCAGCACCTCCCCACACGCTGGGCTGAGTTACTATGGCAACGCTTTCAAGAGGGGAGAATTTGCTTTGTCCTCTCAACTCTCTCATGCTTTCAGGCTTTCCAAAAATAGCCTTGTTTGCCCAAGTCCTGTGGGCCTGGGCATGTTGGGCACATGGCAGACCGTCCTCCCAGCCCCGCACGGGGCCACTGCAGCCACAGCTCCCTTCACAGCGTGGAACTGAGCAAGCTCTGAAAAGTGGAAAATGTTTTATGAGGCGGTGGGATCAAAGAGAAGTTAGACTTAGCTCATTCGCTTGATGAGCTCACAGATGAAGTATGCAGCGTGACGGACCTGGTGCAACGTGACGTGGGGGTGCAGGCTCTCACGTCCACTGCTTGCCTGCTCACCAGGACAGGTGTGAGATGTGCAGGAAGCAGGGGGACGGGAGAGCCATGCTTGGTGGCCTGCGCTGGGGCTGCTGCATGGGCAGGAGAGATGGCTTCAGAGGCGGGGTGCCCACTGAAGCCCCAAGTAGGCACTGTGGGTTCCTTGTTGCGATCTCTAACGGACTTTGCTCCATCTGCCTGGCACCAAAGCCTTTTCTCTGTATTGTCACTGTTTTGGAATGACCCTTGAATGCAGGATTAGAATCCTCCCATTTAGTCAGGAAGCAGACTCGGCCGTAGAAGTGGTCTGTGTCTGGGAGGCAAAGCTGGGCCAGAACCAGCACCGATGTTCTCCTGCGGGGCATCCTTCCGCAGACACCGTGTGCCCATTCAGGCAGCCCCTCCTCCCGCAGTACTGGGTTCAAGTCCCTGCTCTGCGTCCAGCTCCCTGTTGATGTGCACCCTGGAAGGTAAGGGGCACAGCTCAAGTCTGAGTCTCCTCCCACATGGGAGACCCAGAGGGAGTCTCCTGTCCTCAATGCTCTCCTGTCCTATGCGACCCTGCTTGCACACCACCCCGCACTGCAGGGATCCCATGACTGTCAAAGGATGCAAGACCTCATTCTCTCGGTTTTATAAATGTGGAGTCCTTCAAGCTCAGAAGTCATGGGTAACCCCTGGGCGTCCCCAGCATCTGTCCGGCACCTCCTGTTGCAGAGTGGGCCTTCAGTGTTTGTTGATGAATAACTGATGAATGCATTCTGTATTGATCCAATCTCTATATTTAGGCTCGGTAAACAAGGCCAAGAGAAGGAGGCAGAGCTGGGGTGGGCCAGGCATCTCCCCTTAGATGCCTGAAGCAGCGAGGCAGGGCTGAGCCAGGAGCTGGGGATTGACTCCAGGTCTCCCATGTGTAGCAGGAACCCCACCACGAGAGCCCTCACCTGCTACCTCCCACGACCAGGTTAGCGGGAAGCTGGAGCCAGGGAGTGAAAGTGGGGTGCTGCTCCAGGTACTGCCGTGTGGAATCCGTGCATCCCAGCTGGTGGCTTCACTGCCACGTGCAACGCCTGCCCCCTGTGGTGTCACTCACGGTTGAGTGTGGAATTTTGCATTTATGGGGTCACCCTGATGCTCAAAAAGCTTCAGTGTCAGGATCCTTTGCCTTTGGGGATCATTGCAGAGTGCGAGAGAGGTCACAGCAGATGCAAGTGCAAGGTGCTGGGTCTTCAATGGCCGAGCTTGGTGACAACAGCTCCTGCTGCACCCTTGGAGCCACTGCACTGGGCAGCTGATTCGGGATTTTTAAGCCCTCATCCTTCAATCAGATTAAGGGATGCTCAGCCAGTTCCAGGCCTTCAGTTACCTAAGAGGCAGGAGACGGGAAGGGAGCTGTGAGTAGCACGGTAGAAGGCAGGAGGGGAGGGATGCCCAGAGCCGTTGCCTCCAGAGCCATTTCCATTTCCACACTGTTAACTTGAATGCCACGTGGGAGGGATGAGCAGAGCGTGGAATCTCAACCTATTAACCGGCTGCACCCCATCACGGGGATCTCAATCTGTGTAAGCAGCTGCCGCTGTCTCGTTTGTCTGTCGTTATGCCTGTTACTTATATTCAGATATGTTGTAACATGTTTGCTTGAGGCACGCATGCTCAACTTGAGGAATGAACTTGCTGTGAGCACCACCTAGTCACCTGCAGCGCCTGCCCTGAGCTCCGCCTAGTGGCCGCTTCCTGTCACTACACCACCAGACCTCACTTCCTTTGAGCTCAAGCCCAGAACAGGCTTGATCTCAGCGGAGCTGTACGCTCCATGCTGGTTGACTCAGAAATGGTCCAGAGTTACAATGAAGCCATTGTGTTCAAAGTGGGTTGAACCTGGTGCTACCTCTAGCAGCCATCCAAGCACCCCTGTGCACCTCCTGGCATTCCTGAGCCCCGTGTGTGAGACCAGGGAGGCTGTGTGAGTGGGATGTACCTAGCCCCTTCCACACACTCGGCTTCCAACCTGGATTCTATCGTGGACTGCCACTGTGGCCTCCACCTCTGCTCATCCATCTGTGAAATGGGTACACGAAGGTACTGAAAATGATCCTAGAGGGATGGGTGGGCTAAGCCCCCGACTGGGGGAGGGGTGTCCTGTCTCAATGTCTGGCATTGAGCCCCAGCTCTCCTCCAACCTAGTTCCCTGCTGTGTGCACTCCGCATGGCAGCTCAGATACGTGGGTCCCTGAGCCCTTCCTACTTAGGAGACCCAGATAGGGCTCCTGGCTTCACCCCTTTCCTGTCCTGACTGTGGGCGTCTCCAGAAGGAAACAATGAATGAAAGAGCAATTCATCTCCCACTCTGTGGTTAAAACTTTCAAAGAAATAAAACGTCTTAAGCTCATAGGATACATGGAATGAAAAGATCAATTTAGGAGCAGGTGTTGTGGTTCAGTAGGAGATGCTGCTGCTTGAGGGGACCATAGCCCATTCAGAAGCCTTGGCTGCTCCACACTGCAGCCCAGCTTCCTGCTAACATACCTGGCTCCCACGGGCTCTGACTCTCTCTCTCTCTCCTCTCTCTCTCCCTCCTGCCCAGCTGCCCATGATGGGAGGAGTGTTTATGGACTCACCCAATGAGGACTTCAGCACTGAATACTCCCTGTTCAACTCCTCGGCCAACGTCCACGCGGCCTCCAATGGCCATGGGCAGCCGGATGAGCCCCCGCGGTCCTCCAACGATGCTGTGCTGCTGTGGATTGCCATCATAGCCACGCTGGGCAACATCGTGGTGGTGGGGGTGGTGTATGCCTTCACCTTCTGATGTGTGTGCCTGGGCTGCTGCCGGCTCCCCCACCAGGAGTCCTGGCTGTGCGCGCGCACGCACACACACACACACACACACACACACACACACACACACACACACGGCCTCTCCAGGACCAGCAACCAATGACCTCCCGATTGCAAGCAGCCCATGCTGTGGGTGGAGCTCATCAAGAGACCACAGTGGCCCTGGGCTTTCTGCTCCTGGGGCCCTGACCAGGACAGGGATGTGCAGGGAGCAGGTGGTTGGGGAGGCTTCCAAGCTGCATCCCTGGGAGAGGAGACCAGGCAGGGCCGGCAGTGAGGACTGCCAGGCCCAGATGTGACAGTGGCTTGTTGTATGTCTTATTTCTGTACAGATGTCTTGGACCTGCTGTGTGGGGGCTGGAGCCAGGACAGCCCTGAGAGCCTTCGAGCTCTCACCCCAATCTCGGTTTCCTATTCTGCCCCTTGGCATGTGCCTCGCCATCTTGAATGTGCCAGTGCCCCTTTGGAAACAGTACCTTAGTCCCCAAACACCTGGGGACCTGGGTCAGGAGACTCAGACCTGGGCGATCCCTGCTGATCCAGCAAAGGGGGCCCTTTCCAGGGATGCACTTCCTGCTAGCAAGCGGGAAGGTAGCCTTTGACCTCTGGGTCCCCCAGGCAGATAACGCTGAGGGCCACCTGAGTGTCAACAGCGAGTGGGACAGGAGGAGGACACGTGTCCACTGAGGGAGGAACGGTGGCTCCCTGTCTCATACCTCAGCCTCCCCTGCCGTCCTGGACAGACCACAGTGGGAAGGAAGCTTGAGATACTATCTGTAGATGCCAGCAGCTGCCTCCTTCTGCCCACACCGTGCTCCTAAATGGCCGCTGTGGAAGCCCTGGTGTGTGTCTGGGGACAGGAACCCCGGGGACAAGCATGCTGGACTTACTGCTGGGGTCTCAGGAGACACAAGCATGCCTGATGGCAGGAACGGGGCCTCTTGGGTGTCTGTGGTGGTTGTGGTCTGCAGCCAGGGCTCAGTGGGTGAGCTGCTAAGTCCCTGGGCACCAGGCCTGGAGCTGTGTCTCCCGGAGCACTGGGCATCCCTGGGAGGCAGAGGGACCCCCACAGGAGCAGCTTCAGCCCCCAAATGGGATTGGGGTCCCTGCTGGCTGTCACATGCCTACTTGGCTGGCAATCAGATGCCCAATGATCATCCCCAGAGCAAGTCCTAGGAGTGGGCTCAGCTGCTGGAATGGAGTGGGAGTGGGACCCAGGGGCCTGAGAGGCCAGGGGGAGGTCTATATGCGGGTGTCCCCACCTCCCCTGCTCTGGCCACACTCACTTAGAGAGCAACAGGGAGGGGCAGCGTGGGTGAGCTGGGGCCTGAAAGCCCGGCAGGAGAGGGGGGTGTCTGAGCATCCCCACCAGAGTGGCGGCACCCCCAGTCCTCCCAGGGCAGCCTTCTGAGGCTGGGGTGAGCACTTGGTGTTTTTCCTTTGGAGGGGGAAGCTGGGAGGAAGCAGAGGATGCAGCAGTTCGAGCAGTGGCGGGAAGAGGGATGCCGAGTGAGAAGGCAGTACCAGCAGAAGCATCAACGAGTACTCCAGCGTAGGGGCTGGCATGGCAGTGGGCACTGTCCTGAACCGCAACAGAGCTTCTTATCCGAACAGAAGATGAATGAGAGGGGAGAAGGAGGGACACCAGCCCTGGCTGAGGTGGCAAGGCACCTGGGAGGGCCCAGATGCTGGCCTCGGGCCCCCGCTGGGGTACCAGTCCTGGCAAATATCTGTGCCGTGTGTCCTCTGCCTCTGGCTCCCTTTCTGGGCCGGCCTCCTGCCTACCTGAGAGGAGGCTTGCTGTCCGCTCAGCCTTGGGGGATGCAGCCTGGCCTGGCACACGTGCGGGCATTTAGCAGATGCTTATTGCTGAACCCTGTGTCTGCCTCACCAGCAGTTTCTGCCCCTTGTTGCAACCCAGAGCATGGTCAACAGTCCACCAGCTCTGCGTGGGCGCTGGCAGGCTGGCAGGCTGAGAGCTGAGAAGGGCTGGAACTCAGCTAGGCAGGGTTGGGCAGCTTAGCTGGGTAGGGCCCTGAACCCAGGTTATCCCGGCTCCAAAGTGCACAGTGCTCCGCTGAGCTGGCTGTTTTTGCACTGGGGACAGTTTAGTCTCCTGGGGGCTGCTTGGCAACGTCCAAGATGGTCTGGGTTGTTGTTGGGACTAGGGGTGGGGGTGGGGGAGGGCAGGGTGTTACTAGCATCCTGTGGGTGGAGGCCAGAAGGCTGCTGAGTGTCTCCCCCCAGCCCCCCACCAAGACGGCATGGCGGATGACACAGATTGGGAGATGCTCCTGCAGACCGGGCCACTCTGAGGCCGAGCTCCTGGAAGAGGGTTGGGGACCAGGGTGGCTCCTCCATTTTCTCCCTTTGCCATGCCCCAGCTTACTTGTGACGTCTTCTGAAGGGGCCGAGTTCATCCTGCGGGGGGCGGTTTCTGACTAAGATCCGGTGGGCAGTGTGCCTGGGTCTTGCTTGGTTTTCACAGCCGCCTTGTAATTGTGAGCACCTGACGACTGCCTCTACTGGTGTTTTAACTCTTCTTACGTCCTTTGCTATCTAGTCCGTGGGTTTGTCGTGGCTCACAGACTACCTGCGGCAAAAAGGCTCTTTTTGTAACATAAGATTTCCAGGATTTTCGTGTATTCTTTTGATGAAAATTATCCCACTTTCAGATGTAAAAATATGTCTGTGAAATCTTTGTTAGTATTGGTACAGCTGTTGTGTTTTTCTATTAGGATAATTAAAAGAAAAACTTGTGTTGGGTGCCTGGTCCCATTTGCACTCGGCGTGAACGATGCAATCCACTCACCATGTTTCAAGGGCTGTGCCCAGCATCCCCTCCCCACAGAAGGTTCCCTTCTGGGCCCACGCCCACGGAGCTGATCTCCCAGCAGCTACCCTTGGACCCCATCAGTTCTCCCCACTGGTGGAGCCATCGGAAGGCAGTTTTCTAACTCAACTTTTCAGTTTTTTAGCACTTATTTGAGAGGCCACACGGGGTCCCCCAGGCAGCAAGGAATGTCAAACACATTACTGAGGACAGCGTGGAAGAGATGAGACTCGACCTGGCACAGAGTCTAGGGAGGCAGGGCACGCGCGGGGGTGGGGGGGCGGGATGGGGAGTTGAAGAGAAGGCTAAAGCTTGAAGATCAAGTCACACTGCGGAGAAAGCCAGCTGGAAAGGGTCTGAAACATCAGCATGGAAAGCTATAGTGGGTGCCGGCCATCACCAGCTGCCCCCAGCCAGGCTGGCACCGGGAGCAGGAGGCAAGGTGTCTGACACCAGGCAATTGCAAGGGGACCAGAAAGCAAATCTCAGCCGTGCCTCTCCAACCTGCGCTCGCATGGTCTGCTCCTGCTCATCCAGTGAGCCTCCACCCAACCTGGGCCATGATGTGCACCCCCACCCACCCCCATTCCCATCCCATTGTGCACCTCACGAGGATGGCCTGGACTCCCACAGCCCAGCCAGGTGCCTGAGACAGGCAAGCTTTGTTTTTCAAGGCTCTCCCAGCAGAGAGGGTGGAGTGCCCAGGCCAATGCTGCTGAGGCCAGTGCCAGCCTGGCACACGCCAGAGCATCCCCTGCCTGCCACACCGCCCTCTCTGCTGGATCCGCTCTAAATGTTTTTGCAGGTTGTTAAAGTATCTAAATTGGATTTACTTATTTGTGCATCGTTGAGACTCTGCTTGCCATCATAGCATCACTCGCCAAGTGTCCTCATGTCGTGCTGTAACCATCCACTCCCCCGCTGCAGGTGGTCTCGGGCAACCATCAATTGTGTTTCTGCCCCATAGAACTACTACCATTTCCCAACATTTCATACCAGTAGAATCAGCGTCTTTTTCACCCACCTGCTTTCCCTCACAATGACTCATCTAGAATCAGATTTGTGATTGTGTAAATGTGGTTTGCAGCTTCCGCCCCCTGCATGCTGTTTATCTGTCCCTGTGAATCTTGGTCCTGGGGTGTGGGGGTGACAAGGGATGCCAAACAGGACATCAAATTGGGGCAGTGGGTGGATGAAGGAAAGCTGCTCAGACAGCCACAGGGGTAACCCCTTGTGATAGCACAGCTGGGGCACCCCCCACCCCAGGACAAGACTGCCCCCCTCCAAGAACTGTACACCACGTAGTGCAAGCCTCCCTCACCTTGGCTCTCCCTGTGTGTCCCGCGGTGCCCTGCCAGGACTGGAGCAAGGGCCTCCTCCTCCTAATAGGGAATAAGCAAATGAGAAGGGCGGGGTGCCAACCACTGCCTCCCTCTGGGCCAGCCCCTGCATTTGCTCAGTTCCTGAGCTGCCCCAGGCCTGGAGGTGGCAGAGGGCAGGTGATCTGGCTGGGCTGTTTGCTCAGCTGTCCACTCACTTCCCGTGGTCTTCAACACCCACCCTCTCTGGGGATTTTCCGCTCAGCGGCTCATTGCTAGGGCTCCTGCCAAGGCCTGGCCTACAGCAAAGCAGGGGAATGGACCCCGTGATTGCCACTTCCGGAAAGCCCAGCTGCCGCAGCCTCGCCCACAAACAGCACAAATGATATTAACTCCCCGGGCAACCAGCACTGCGCTGCTCTGGGGTCTGCAAGTGTTCTCCATCCAGCCAGGAGCCTCTGTCAGGTGCCCTTGTGTTGCTCCCAGCTCCTAATCAGCCCCCAAGCCCCAGCACCGATGAAGGGGTACCCACTCCTGGCGTGGGGGTGGAAACTCCAGGGCCTGTGTGGGGGGACCCTGAGCCCCTGGGGATGCAAGGCTCGCTCCCTGGACCAGAGCGGCCAGCACCCAGGTTCCGGGCAAGCACACTCAACTTTACCTGTTTGTTTCTTCATCTGGAATTAGTGGGTGAGTCCTGACCACCAGCCAGGCCTGAACATTGCAGTGCTGCTTTTCTTTTTAAAATTTTTTTAAAAACTTATTTATGCTGCCCCTCTCATGTAGAACCCCATATTCTTTGGAGGGCCACACCCCTCGGTG